CCCCCCCCAGACTGCAGTAGTTATCGCCGAGCAGGGGGGTGAAGGGCGACACTGCAGGATCAACCGGGCAGCACCCCAGCTGCTCTGCTCTGCCACTTCCCCAAGTCCGCCTCATCAGTTTCAGCAGCAATGGACTTGGGGAAGTGGCGCGGTGTGGAGCAGAGTATAATCCCCTTCCCCTCTCCTCCCCTTCCCTTTCCCAGCTGCGAGCGCCCATGGGGCTCACAGCAGCTCCAATTGTCTGGCTGGCTGGAGCACTTCTAGGTTCCAGTTGATGTCAGACTATCAGGAGTGCCGGACCACTGGATGCCGGACAATTGGAGTTTTACTGTATATTTTCCATTATAAATGGATGATCATATTTGTGTGTCTCAATAAGTAAACTCTCCTGATAGTTTTTCAAGGGTGCTAAATAACATCTGTTGCAGTAATGCCCACATCAATGAATGGGAGGAAGGACTGACCAGCCCTTACCTTTTCTCTTGCTTTTTGGGGGATTTTTTTTCCTGCACATATTTTATTTTGTTTACTTTTATTTCTATATCTCTTTCTTGCTTTAGATTTCCTGTCATTTAAGTCAGGGGTGGGGAACCTAAGGTCCAGGGGACAGATATTGGCCCCTGGCTTGCCTGGATTTAGCCAAAAAAGGCTCCACACCCCTGATTTAAGAATTCTGTAGTTGCAGTACTCAAGAGTGCACTTTCTAAAACATCAGATACTTATTGTAATGCATATTTAATTGCATGCTTTTCAAATTCTCAGAGATTCATATGATATTGTTTTCAATATAATATTATGTGTTGTATATAGGGTTGTTGTAGATATAGATCTTGTTGTTATAGTAACTGGGTTAGGTCAGTAGGGGTCAGCTCCGCTGGTTTGGGCTGGTTCCAGTTAGTTCTGTGTTATGAAATAAATTAACACTTGCAGCTGCTTCCAGCGATTTCTTTTTAAACTCTGGAACTCCAAACAGTATAACAATGAACTTTAAATTTTAATCACTGTTTCATTAAAAATATTGTTATTCCACTCAATGATGGAAACCAAATGTATGGACTCAGAGTTTAAGACCAAAGGGGATCATTAGATCATCTTGTTTGACTTCCTGTACATCACAGACCACTGAAATCTCACCCAGTTAAAACCCTATCTGTGCCAGTAACTTGTGTTTGGTTAAAACATAACTTCCAAATAAGCATATAGTCTTGATCTGAAGATATCAAGAGATGTAGAATACACCAATTTCTGTAGTTTGTTCCAATGCTTATTCAAACTCACTGCTAAATATGTGTGCCTAAATTTCCTATTTGAATTTATTGTATTTCAACTTTCAACTATGAGGGGTTTTAATGCCTTTTTCTACTAGATTAAAGAGCCTTTTAATACCTGATATTTTCTCCGCGTGAAGGTACTTAAACACGGCAATAAAATAATCTCTGAATCTTCTTTGAGGACTTGCTGTAAGGCATTTTGTTCAGCCCTCAAACCGTGCTGGGGATCTTTTCTTTACCCTCTCCAGTTTTTCAGCATCTTTTATAACCAAACCGATATCCTGTATCTAATATCTGCACTGCCAATGTGCCAACGTTCTAATATGCTGAGAGATGCCCCCAGACCAGCTCCTCATCAGGCCCTGTCTCACTCAAGGCCCCACCACCACCTTGCCTCTTCCTGTTGCTGCTCCACCCCAAACCCACCTCTTTCCACCCTGTTCTGCCCCCTCCCCTAAGCACACCCTGCTCTTGCTTCATCTCTCTGTCCCCCCAGCACCTGCTGGACACCCACTGAACATCCGATCTATAGAGGAGGCATTGGGAGGGAAAGAAGGAGGGTGATGAGCTGATAATGAGACCACCAGCCATCAGAAAGGACTGGTGGCTGGGGGAGGCACTGATATGGGAGCTGCCAATGAGTGATCAGCATCGACCATTTTTTAACATGGATGCTCCAGGGCTAGAGCATTCAAAGTCAGGGCCTGTGCCATGCTTAGCCATCTGCTAAATCCACTGCAATCCCGAAGTATCAAATCTCATGAGCTCCCTCAATATTTGTTTTCAGTAATCAAATACTTCAGCTAATATTGAATCAAACAGGAGAAAACGTGCATTTTTCACATCACTCATCTGCTTGTGCTTAATCATGTTTGTGGAGGGCAATGTTCATAAGGTGGATGTAAGTCCAATTCGTAATGTGTTTTAGTGGCTATGTCCTGTCTGCAAGCATTATAAATTTCCACAGAAATACTGTTGGAGGTGAGCTGGTACATTATAAAGCAATTTACAACCACAAGCAAAATTTCTCTGCACTTGAAAAGGAATATAATTTAACATACAGCATCCATATATATTTCAGATGAGAATTTTTAAACTAATATTTCAAGTGGGTTTGTAAACAGTAAATTCATGCTTAAAGATATTCAAAATTATTTTCCAAGGGTAGAATTTTTAAAAGCACTCAAGTGATTTAGGAGTCTAAATCCCATATTCAAAAATAACTTTGGCACTTAGGGCCAGATTTTTAAATGTAATTAGCACATTCAGTGACCACTGAAAATCTGGCCCTTAGTCTAATTGAAAATCAGTGAGATTTAGACCTGTAAGTGCCTAACTAACTTTTGAAAATAGGACTTAGATGCCTTTGAAAAATATACCCAATATCTATTTGTGTTGGGAAGCAAAACTGAGTCATTGATGGAAAGAGTAGTTTAGGACTCAGGACTCCAGGGCTCTAGTCAGATAGATCTCTGCCACTGAATTTTTCTCTGATTGTTGGAAAGCAATTTGACCACTGTGTATCTTAGTTTACCCATTTATAAAATGGGAACAATAATAATAGTAGTGCTATAAGATTAAGTGTCTAGATTGTGCTTTTTGAGATCCTTGGGTGAAAGTTGTAATATAAATACAAAATATAATTCTCATGTGATGGTTTATTTTTCTTTCATTTTCTTCAGGGTTGAAAGAAAGGAGCGGGCACGTTTGAAGACTGTGAAGTTTAATGCGAAACCTGGTGTGATTGATGCAAAAGGGGTATGTAAAAGAGAAACCTACTAAACATAACTTCTCTGTTGTCAAAGAGTGAAATGAAATTGCTTTGTATGTTTCAAAGTTGAGCATATTGTGGCAACACAAGAAGGAGAAGGAGATTGTTTTAGTTAAGGTTTGGAATATGGTGAAAGGTGAAAAGTATGACATGATCTGCTAAATAATTATTATCCTTTTGTAGTCTAGTATTAGTTGACATTGCCTTCTAAAAGGGAGATATTAAGAAAAGAAATAGCATTCTTTCTTATTGATGGGATTTAGTTAAGTATTGGCTTGGGAGAGGAAGACTTTCAAAATTTATTGGCATGTATGTTTGTTTAATGAAATACACAGAGAGATAGCGAGGTTGAAATCATCTGTTGGAGAAGTAAAATATATGTTTCTGACTTAATACTTTAATGGTTGTGACAGATATTGAACAGAGACTTGTACTGCAGTAAGCACCAAAGATCAGCCAGCCCAGAATGTAATTTTAAACTTGTTTGTTCGCTAGCAAAATATTTACAGAAAGGATGATTTGAATTGCTTAAAGCTTTTTTTTGTTTAAATTTCCCTTGCATTGGCATATTAATACAAAAGAATCTCTCTGTTCCAGAATTCCAAAGTATGTTCTGGCATGTTTAATTGTTGATGTAATGTGACATTTTGAAAAATACTAAGTAGTGGTTAGTCTAATATTCTGGATGGCAAGAGTTGTAAAAATAAAGAGTGTAGTAATATAAAAAATACAAACATCATATACATCAAATTATATTCTTCCACTGAGACATTTTTCTCATTTTTAGCATTAGGTGAACACATTACAGATCCCAGTCTACCAACCTGTAATTGAACAGATAGTCCAAATGACTTAAATGGGACTACACTCATAAATAAGGGCTTTCGAAAGTCCGAATAGTATGGGATTTTTAAAAGTCATCAGCATAAAACTCCCATAGACTTCAACAGAAGCACAGTTGGGCCAACACAGCATACTTTTGACAATCCTACTCTTAATAACTCTTCCTTTCTCCCAGTCGTTATCCATCTTGTCTCTATAGACTGTAAGCTCTTTATTATGGGTGTGTATAGAATGCAGCATAACTGAGTCCCAGTTTCAGTGGGGAACCCAGGTGCTAATATAATACACATAGTATTTCTTTTGTAAAATTCTTGAGAAAAGAAAAGAAATCACTCTTGCATATAATGTGTGTGAACCAGATTCTGACTCAGGGCTAATTAAGAACAACTGCATTGATTTAAACAGAATATTTCCAGATTATACCAATATACCTGGGATCAGAATCAGATTCTATGTATATTATTTCCATATATAAGTGGCGTAATCAATCTGACTTCCTGCAAAGTCAAAGACAAAAAATCATTTGAAATAAGTGCTTTTGCAAACTTGTGGGTTGTTATCAGGTACTGTACCATCAGTCAGCTCACTTCTTTAAATGCCCTATTTCCTGTGTATTGTCAAAATCTTGCAGGAGTAATTCATTGATGTTCTAATGGTCCTTACCAGAGCCTGGTGAAAATTTAATTATCCAATAGTTTCCTGCATTGCTCTTCTATTTTTGCCCTCAATTGAACATTAATCTCCTTGCCACTCATTCCATTATTTGTTGTGATATTCCATAATCAGGCTGTTCAACTTTTGGAAATCTATTTTCATTTGTGAGTCAGTACTAAAATCTGTTTTCCCCTTTTAAAAAAAAGCTACATAGAGACTGTATATGACAACATAAGGTAAACATGTTGAAAATGAGAAGAATGGGGGGGGGGAGGAGATCACTGTTTGAAGCATCAACATGGAATTAGAGTTTTATAATTTATATGTGTAGACTATACCCTGTGTTACAGTGAGACACCCTTCTCTTTTAGAGACATTATTCATTTTATTTTTGTTTTTTTAAATTGAACAAATTACCTCTCACTATCTTTAATTTACCAGCTCTGAAGCCTGCTTATTTCATATAAATATTGAAAGATACAGGAAGGTGAAAATTAAACAAAAGTTAATCAAACATTTAAAAGCTAGTGTGGGATAAAAAAATCAATTTTTGTTTTTATCTGAATCATATTGCCCACCTCAAATATATTGATATACAGGCAGTCCCCGACTTACACGGATCCGACTTATGTCGGATCCGCACTTACGAACGGGGCGAGAAAGCCCCGTTGGTAAGCTGCTCTGGTGCCCCTGGTCTGCTGGAGACCGTCTCCAGCAGACCAGGGGCACCGGGCGGGTTCCCGTGCTTCTGAGGCTTTGCCAGAGCAAAGCCTCAGAAGCGCGGGGAACCGCCGCTGCTGCTGCCGCTTCAGTCCCGGGGGCCATTTCCCCAGCCAGAGGGAGTAGGGGATGACATCAGAATGAAGAACCACTTCCTCTCCCCTGCTAGGCAGAGCCCGTGGGCCCGATGCAGCCTGTAACTTGCATTGATCCAGCCTGTTACGCTTGGGATTCCGGACTCCATAGCAGGACAAGCCAGCTCTGGCTTGCTCTGTTGTGGGAAGAGAGAGCCCAAGCCTCGTGGGCCGGATCAAGACATGCCGCATGCTGGGCCATAGGTCCCCATCCCTTTAACTAGATACAAATTTAATCACTAGCAGAACTTAAAATTATCGATAAGGTGAACTGATTTCGAAAGAACATGGTTTTCAAAGAAGAATAAATAAATTAAAACTAAATAAATATTTAGCTACCAGATTGCAGAAAATATCTCAAAAGTAAGTGACATGTTATTGCATATACAGGCAGTCCCCGACTTACGCGGATCCGACTTACGTCGGATCCGCACTTACGAACGGGGCGCTGACTACAGGAAGCCCCAGGCAGAGTTGCTCTGCCCCGGGCTTCCTGGAATCAGCTGCTGATCAGTTTCAGCAGCAGCTGACTTGGGGACGCCTGGGGTTCTTAAGTTGATTCTGTATGTAAGTCAGAACTGGCGGTCAGTTTCAGCAGTGTCTGAATCTGGACGCCAGTTCCGACTTACATACAGATTCAACTTAAGAACAAACCTACAGTCCCTAAGGCAGAGTTGCTCTGCCCCGGGCTTCCTGGAATCAGCTGCTGATCAGTTTCAGCAGCAGCTGACTTGGGGACGCCTGGGGTTCTTAAGTTGATTCTGTATGTAAGTCAGAACTGGCGGTCAGTTTCAGCAGTGTCTGAATCTGGACGCCAGTTCCGACTTACATACAGATTCAACTTAAGAACAAACCTACAGTCCCTATCTTGTACGTAACCCGGGGACTGCCTGTATAGGAACACAGGAGTAATAATAATACAAAGCAAAGTTAAAGCTGTCTGAACAGACTACTATGTAGAAGAATATCTAGGTAGCATGCAGCTGCCATACACTGCCTCCCTCCTCCTCAGGGTAGGGGCCATGGCCAATGGTAATGTAACACAGGCAAAGCCAGGATATCCCTAAACCTCAGTCATCCCTGACTTTCAAAACAGCTCCTTAAGGTCATTGGCAGCCAGCATAAAATAGATCACCAGAGCTGCTCTAGTGTATGGCATATATTGGAAATTGAGTGAGAGAGCCCCCAGAACTGGGAAGCACAAAGGTGACTGAAAGGTCATCTTTGACCCCGTCTCCTGAGCTGTACTGAGGACTGATCTTCCCCATTATTCTGCAAAAGGGTAGTGCATCAGTAATAACGAATAACATCACGTTTGCCAAGTTGCATATTCAGCTCTTGGAAACTTCACCTAGTGTAGACTTTAAACTTAAAAAAATAAATAAACTTAAATAAATAAAACTGCTTTTGCGGAAAAACTTGCCAGCTGTCTACACTGGCTGCTTGAATTTCCGCAAGAACACTGACGATCTCATGTAAGATTATCAGTGTTCTTGCGGAAATGCTATGCTGCTCCCGTTCGGGCAAAAGCCCTCTTGCGCAAATGCTTTTGCACAAGAGGGCCAGTGTAGACAACGTGGTATTGTTTTGCGCAAGAAAGCCCCGATTGCGAAAATGGCAATCAGGGCTTTCTTGAGCAAAACCGCGTTGAGATTGGCACGGACGCTTTTCCGCAAAAAGTGCTTTTGCAGAAAAGCATCCATGCCAATCTAGACACTCTTTTCTGCAAATGCTTTTAATGGAAAAACTTTTCCGTTAAAAGCATTTGCAGAAAATCATGCCAGTCTAGACGTAGCCTAGTTGATGCTTGTAAGATTTACCGAAGAAAAGAATCATCAGCACTGGAAGGTGGAAATATCACAGAAGTGAAAAGAAACTCGACTGTAACGTACTTAACTCTTAACTGCAGCAATTGCAGCTAGTCTTATCACAGACAAAAAAAGCACCTCTCTTGCTTTATTTCCACCTCAGTCATATATTTTTTCTGGAATGTGGGCTGGAGGCATTTTTTATGACAGATCTTGTAACTCTTTTCAAAAGAGTTTACAACAGCTTACTCTGCATTTCTAATATTTGTAAAGTTTACCTGTTCCATCAAATTGTTCCAATATCTCAAATCATAAGATAGAGTATTTCCTTCATAAAGTACAAATAATTGTTTTCTGTTTCTGTTGGAGCTCTATGTTGCCAGTGCTTTTCAACTGAACAATTATTTTAAGAAACAAAATCTGTTATCCCCTAGACACTGTGTGTATTTACTTCATGACTTTATATAGTATGGGTGTGGTGCTACGTGGATAGACGCAACTCAAGGCAGGTTTTTTTTCTCAAACTGCTGAAAGGAATTAGGAGCTCTTCTGAGGTGATGTAAACAGTCTCCGAGTTGATGACAGAGTGCTCCACTATAGGTTAAGCACACAAGCTTTGATAGGGACTTTTCACTCCAAAGAGAATGTCACATTTGTGAATGAGTTGTGACTGCTCTGGGAGGAAGAATGCAGAGTATTTGAGGTTAAAAAATATCTCTAAATTAATTTATGGGAAAATGCCAAAGACTTCCATTTGGACTGATTATCCCTGTAGTAATGCAAGTGAGGAGGGGAAATTCAGGTTCTGATACTTTCTGCCATTTCACA